GTTCTTCAATCAACCTACCTTAAATTTTATAAAATACCAGAGAGCAAAAGTCATTAAATAAATAACTTATAGCCACTTTTCTTTTCAGCTACACCTTGTTCAAGATGTTTGATGATTTGATACTTCTCGCAAAAGGAGGTCTAACAGTTTATCATGGCCCAGCTAAGAAGGTTGAAGAGTACTTTGCAGGTCTTGGCATCAATGTTCCTGAACGAGTTAATCCTCCTGACTACTTCATAGATGTTTTGGAGGGGCTGATTAGACCAAATGCCAGTTCAAACATGAGTTATAATGAGCTTCCTGTGTCGTGGATGGTTCATAATGGATATGCTGTGCCCCCAGATATGCAGCAGAATTGCCACAAAGATGCAGTTTTGCCAACGAGAGTAAATATTAACGATCAGATCCTCTCTGGTGATATCGATGTGGAACATTCTTTTGCTGGGGAAATATGGCAAGATATGAAGTGCAATGTGGAGCGGCATCGTGATATTTTACATCACAATTTCTTGAGGTCAAAGGACCTTTCCAATCGGAGAACCCCAAGTATTCTCTTGCAGTATAAGTACTTCCTTGGAAGGTATATAATTATTTAGGAATCTTTTTTATTTTTTGAATTTCTCTCGCTCTTTTGGTTACTTTTATAGTAATGAAAGAAAATTATACCCTTGAAGAATATTCTCTATTGACATGGATGTGATTGTATGCAATCCAAATAAAATGAAATAACCAAAGGGATTATTTCTGTCATCCTCTGTAGCTAGAAGGTCATATAATACTTTCCATGTTTATTGAATGGTATTGACATTCTATTGAAGTTGTAGTCTGCAGTGACAAGACATGTGCATTTATAATGGATAAATGGCCAAATGGCCCATGTTCGAAGTTAGAACTTACCAATCATTATACCGGGAACCATAGTCCGCATTGCAATATGGACCACTACATACAAGTTTTCATTTTTAGTATACTGCATATTCATTTTTACTATACTACAAGTTCAATTTTAGTAGGTTCATTATATTTTAATACAAGTTCAGAATATGCAATATACTAAAAAATAGACACGTATCATAGGTCTACCTTGCAATGTGGATCATAGTCCATGGTATAATTTTCTAGAACTTACAGTCAATGGTTGATTCATTATTTCATTCAATTAATTAATGTTTTTGGAAATTTTTGAAATTGATTCAATTGCTGTAACAAGTAATTAACTGGAAACTTATGCAACAAAATTTGTACTAGGAGAATTAATTGAGGTGGACTTCCTAATATGGGGCAATAGTAAACAAAATGCAGACATAAAAATGATATGGACTACATGACTTCTTTTCCTTTTTTTTTTTTTTTTTTTTTGGGTAGAGTTGCCCTGGCATACTTAAGTGATGAGTTAAGCATTCTTGAATGACAGCCAATTTTGTATAGTTAGACCAAGAGGTGGATGTGAAATCTAGGATATATTATTTATTCATTCAGTGCATTCCAAAGCATAGTGCAAAATTTTAATGAATGTCTCACTGTCATGAATAAGTTTGCTTTGAGACACTGCAAAATGATACTGCTTTTAATGGCATTAATTTGATTCATTTGCTGCTAATTCACTAAGGATGGATCACATTCTATTTATGAATTAAATCATTCCTTTTTTGCTTTTTTTTTTTCTTCAATTGATCTCAGGGTGGGCAAACAGAGATTACGAGAAGCAAAAACACAAGCAATGGATTATCTCATTCTATTAGTTGCTGGAGCCTGCTTGGGGTCACTAACCAAAGTAAAGGATGAAACTTTTGGTTCACCTGGTTATGTGCACACAATAATTGCTGTCTGTAAGTTGGAACCAAATTTATAGTTTTTTTAAAGCAATTTCTTACAATAACACACGGTTGATTACTATAGTGAAGAACTTTGTCATCACACCTATGTACTGCAGTATATTTTATCTAAGCAATTTCTTCCAAGTTATTGAATTGCTCTACCATCTTTTCTTAAAATCCTTTTTCCCCAGCTTTGCTGTGTAAAGTTGCGGCATTGAGAACATTTTCATTGGACAAATTGCAATACTGGAGAGAAAGTGCTTCTGGAATTAGCAGTCTTGCTCATTTTGTTTCCAAAGACACAATAGATCATTTCAATACACTAATTAAGCCTGCCGTGTATCTCTCAATGTTCTACTTCTTCTGCAATCCAAGGTCCTCTTTCGCAGATAATTACATCGTCTTACTCTGCCTTGTGTATTGTGTAACTGGCATGGGTTATGCATTAGCCATCTTTCTTGAATCAGGTCCCGCCCAGCTGGTGAGTACTGGTGTACTATGGAGATCTGTTCATAATCACAGCTCAGTTTCTTTCTAGATCCACAATATAATGACTAACTCTATATTCTCCCTTTCTTGTAGTGTGCTGTTCTTGTTCCCGTGGTCTTGACTCTTGTCGCAACTCGACCTTTAGGTAGCAAGTTTTTCAACACCCTAGCTGACTTATGCTATCCAAAATGGGCACTCCAAGGATTTGTTATTGCAAATGCAGAAAGGTATACATCAACACATGACACCATTATTATATGAAACTGCCCCGGGGCATAGCTTAGTGGTCGAAAGTCTGACTGTCTGAGTGTAGTGTCTAGTACTTGAACCCGGGTTCAAATCCTCAATGAGGAAGGATCTCAACCTGGGAAAAAAGTAAAGCACTCAGACCCTGCGTGATGTACATCTTACGATTTATATCCTCATAATATGCTTCAAACCAAAGCACATGTATAACCGAATATTTTGTTATTAATTTTCAGATATTACGGTGTATGGCTCATAACACGTTGCGGGGCGCTCCAGAGATTTGGATACGATATTCACAATTGGGGTCTTTGTATAGCCATTCTCATCCTTACAGGTTTAGGCAGTCGGATTGTGGCTTTTGTTGGCATGATAGTTTTCCAGAAGAAGTGAGTCTGCTTATTTATCCATCACTGCCATTTCTTTGTGTTGTAAAAGTATACACAACACATTGGCTGTATACCACATATTCATTTCTGCAACTCTTTATGTTGTCTACTCTGTATTATGTCGCGCTAACCTTTATGTAAATTTTGGTTGAAATATTATTATTATTTACTTATACTTTTTAAAGATTAAAAATATAAAATTTATATTTATATTTAAAAAAGAAAAATTAATACGGAATATCTAGTATTTTGTCACATCATGGAGTGGTTGTTTTGTGAACGTCAGTTGTATGTTTAATATTTTTCTTTGAGTTACTAACCAAAATGGTCCCTCGACTATGTCGTAATTACCAATTTGGTCCTCGACTATTATTCTTACCCAATTAAGTCTTCAACTATGTAATCTTTACCCAATTTAGTCCTCCGTTAGTTTAGCTGTTAGTTGACCGTCAAAATTGAGGGTAAAATTGTAATTCAAAAAGTTTTCCCCCTCCTCCGCTGAAGACAATTCTTCTCGGTCAATACACAACATATTTGGTAGATTATGAACACAAACAAATCTAACAAACCTCACAACAGTGTATGTGTATATATATATAAACATGAGAAAAGCATTTCAAAAAACATATAATGGGAATAAAGGCATCAAATAAATAGCAGCAACCCAAATTGCAGCAGCATTCGATGACACATTAACACGGCGTCCGAATTACAACTGCCGCTGCCTTTCTCCATTACAATCAGCAACCCTTTGCCAGAAACTGAAGCCCTGTTTTTTTCTAGGTAAGAGGTAAATCTCTTGCGATAAATTTCTCAAATGAAAAGCAATTAAAATATATTCAAATATGAAGCCTTCAATTTCCTTCTTCACTCGAACCGACTATGGTGTTTAATTGGGGACATCGATCGAACGCCGGAACGAGGAAAGTTTAGCCGGCTGGAGTTATAGTCGGTATATAGGTTTGGAGGAAGGGTTTATAGTAGTAATTTATGTCTACAGTACAATACACGACTGGAGAATTGCTGCGTCAATGGAGGAAGGGGAAAGCTTGTTGAATTACAATTTTGCCCTCAGTTTTAACGGTTAACAAACAGGAAAACTAACGGAGGACTAAATTGGATAAAAATTACATAGTTGAGGATTTAATTGGATAAGAATGATAGTCGAGGACCAAATTGGTAATTACGGCATAGTCGATGGACCATTTTGATTATTAACTCTTTTTCTTTTTATAATAAAATAATAATAATTGAATGCCCTGCACTTGGAAGCGGGAAATAACAAGTACAATTTAAAGAACAAAATTTATGTTATTTATGAAAAATAATTTATACCTCTAAGTTGAATTTATCTTTTTCAAATTTCAAAGAACCATTTCACTAATTGACTAAAACTTTCTTAGGTCAAAGCACGAATCAAACATAATAATAACTATTTTTCGGGTTAACAAACGGGCTTTATTGGATAAGAAGTGTAACCTAGTTATAGGTATTTTCATAGATTAGTGTTGCAAACGGACAGAGAAAGATCCGGACCACAATGTGTGGTTGACACCAAAAAAAAAATAGATTAGTGTTGCAAACCATAATATAATTTATGTACATTTAGTTAACATATTATGTACATTCAATATAACTAAATATATATAATAAGTTATAATAAAGTTTGAAAAAGAATACTTTAAGTTTTTTTTTGAATGCTACTAGCTCTATTACATTGTAGTATCTGTTCATATACTTTCTCAACCTGAGGCTCAAACTCACAACCTTCCAAGTGGAAGTCCAACCCGGATACCATTGGACCACATAGTCCTAGTGAATACTTTAAGTTTTAATTCTTAAAATTTTATCATTTTATTTGAGTAAGTCTATGATAGAATGATTAACAACTATTACACTATGATTGTTTACATGTAAAGTAGATCATTGACATAAAATTCATTTTTAATGTATTAAATTAAATATTCCGTATTAATTTTCAATTATACTACTTAAAAATAAACATAGTAAAATTTGCGCCTCAGTTGTTGGCAGGTAAACCCTGATATCGAAATCTCTCCCTCCAAAAAAAATTAAAATTAAAAAGAAAAAAAAAAAAAGAAACGAGTTGAGAAGGGTTTAAGGCCTGGGTTTAGGGTTTATTCATTCAGCCCCTCTTTCTCAATCACTCTTCATCAGTTCTTCCTTTCAAAAGACTTGACTGGTAAGGTAAAGAGCATTAATGGAAGATGCTGACGACAAACACCGCGGTGGAGAATCGGAGTTCCCCCAATTCGGGGGCAAAGTCTCCGTTGAAGCCAAGCTCAAGGAACTCCTCCGCAACTTAACCTCTGTGGAGCTTCAGCTATGCTTGGAAGCTTCTAAGGATATCACCAAGTTGCTAAAGTCTGAATCTGGTCCCGAATTTCTTCGTTTATATATCAGCAACTCTCCTAAATGCATCGAGCTCTCGCAGGTATGGGAGTCCCGAAAAGGCAACTTTGGATTTTCGAATATCCTCAATTTGATTGCAGCTATTCTCAGCCACCCTTACGGGAAACTCCAAAATAACTCGGAGTTGGATAAGTTTGCGCGATGGATTGTGGTTGAGAAGATGGGGGATTTGTACAGAGAGTTGAACAGCAAAGACGGGAAGCGCCAGAATGCAGTGCTGTCTTTGTTATCTGCGATTGTGAGGCGTGGTTCGTGGCTAGCATGGGAGGTGGCGAAGGATTTCGATTTTAAGATTCCAATTTTTGGGAAGCTAGCTGAGTGGAAAGTGAGGAAAGTTGAAGGGAGAAAGAAACATCGTTCCACTAGGAAGGCATTTGTGAAGTTTGCAATGTCTTTCTTGGAAGTGGGTAGTGCGAGGTTGTTAAGGGGAGTGTTGCAACAGAAGGATATGTATTCAGGGGTGCTTAGAGGGTTAGGAAATGATGATGATGATACAGTGATATATGTTCTCTCAACTTTGCGAGATCGAGTTCTTGTTCCTGACTCATTGGTGCCCCCTGGACTTAGGAGTGTACTTTTTGGGAGTGTGACTCTGGAGCAGCTGGTTAGCATTTCTGGAAGAGAGGATGGCGGGGAAGCTGCGGAGCTAGCTCATAGTGTCTTGCTAATGGTTTGTACTGACCCTTCTAATGGTTTGATGCCAGATCCGGATAGAGTTCCTAGCCCTTTGAGAGGTAATCCAAGGCGGTTATTGGGTGTCATGAAGAAGCTGAGAGCTACAGAATTTGAGTACCATAAAAACATTCTTCTTGCCATTGTAAAAGGGAAACCATCCTTAGGCTCTGCCTACTTTGATGAGTTCCCTTATAACACTGAAGATCCTGCGTCACCTAACTGGTTAGATTATATTACTATCAGAATTAATTTTAATCCTGCTATCATTATCTTGTCTGTACATGATAACTAGAATACTTGCAGGTTTGCTACCACTTTGCTGGCTGCAAATGTCATTCTCTCTGTCCGTGATGGCTATGCTTTTGGTTTTGTTGATATTTTGAAGGAGCTAAAAGGTCTTGAGAGTCCAGATGTCGAAAATATTCTAAAATGCATTGGACCACGTCCATTTACTCGGCTGATTATCAATAAAGGGTTGCTTCATTCTGATCCCCTTGTGAAACATGGAACTTTGAGGCTCGTTTTGGAGTCACTGAGGTTTCTTGACTCTCTAATTGATGCATTAAACTGCATCTCCTCTTCCAATAATCAAATGATGCATCTGAGGGCATCCCTCAAGTTAGATATAGTGAATGAAGTCAGGATTTTGCTTCCTGATCCTCAAGTTCTATTCTCATTATTGTCTTCACTTAATGGATATTATAGAATTCTGGAATCATGTGCCAAAAGAGCAGCAGATTCAGAAATTCCATTTGAAGATAATATGAGTAGCAGGAAAAAGTTGAAAACTGAAAAATTGGAAGAGGATACTGATATTATAGTCAGTGGGTTTAGTAGTACCCATGGAGATGTAGATATGCAGGGAGACAGTGAAGCAGTCCTTGATGAAGATGACCCAGTTCAGTCTAAAAATGAAACCCACTTTCTAAAACTTATAAGAGAACTTTGGTCCAAGAATTTGTGCTCTTTCAAGGACTTGGTTGAAGATGCAGAAACACACTTTTATACGAAGTTGCTTGATGTTCTGAAATTATACTATGTAAGTTTTCAACCCTTGATCAATATTTGCATGAGCCACCGGATAAATGAAAAATTTAGCTGCAACTGAGCATATGTAGTTAATGCTATGGACTATTTAATTCCGTAAACTTGAATCCAATTGTATGACTTTGTACTTGAGGGCTGACTTGTTGAAGACTATCCTTTCGCATCAACTTAGTTCTATAAAAATTCAACTTCCTACCTATTTAGAATGCATTAGACACTCCACATAAAATCTTTACAACATTTTGGTTTAACCAAAAAAAAAAAAAAAAAGAGAAGGAAGATCCATAAAAGAGAGGAAATAATCTACATGCATAATTACATAGAAGTTTAGAAGTTAGTTATTCTTCAAGCCTGAAATATGTTTCTTAGTTCCTTCCTCCAAGGAGAATTGTTCCCATGTTTATTGCTTTGTTAAAAAAAGATGTTCTACTTTTTTGCAGCGCACTATGCCCAATATGTTGGAGGGATCGTTTGATTTCTTCAAAGTTCTTCCGAGCAATCCTTTAGCATTGCCAATTATTTTGCAGCAGTCTTTGTTATCTTTGCTCATTGAGCATATTGGTTGGTCCTCCACATCTGAGTCTGCCTTCAGAGCTCAGTCACAATTGTACAAGAATCTACTTCCACTTCTGAATTTATTAATTTATTCATCAGATAAAAGTGTCAAAGATCAAGCATACATTCTGGCAAAAGCAGCCATCTTAAGTACTGGTGCATTTGATAACAATCCAAGGGAAGTATGTACATGGTTCTTATTTATTCCAGGGTACAGTGAAGGCAGTGCTCTTGCTGGAGACGTGAAACGAGAAATGTTCAGAAAATTGTCCTCTGTTGTTCTCTCCTTCCTATGTGATGCCGTTTCAACGGCTGGTAATAATTTATTCAAATATATGGATCTATTGAGGTCCTATATCCACAAATCACAAGGTGGTAAAGGTATTTGAATTTTATTGCAATTTATTTATCTTGTATAATTTATTCAAATATACGAAACATTCTCATTGCTTTAAGCCTTTAACACTTTAACATCTTATGATGTCAGCACATATATCATCAGCTAATTTTAGCTGTTTCAGTATATGTATCATGGAGAAGTGCCTAAGGTTACTATGTGCTGAATCTGGTTCCTTTTCTCTGGCTGAGAAGTCGATGATATCGTTATATGTTTCCAACACATTTAAGTATATCCTGCAAACTCAGGTGATGTATTTTATCATTCATGGGATATCTCATCATTTCTATTTTGATGGTCATTTAGATGCTTAACATTTTGGCACCCATTAATTGATATGTGTTAGGTTGATGCTAGAGTGTTAGCTTCCCTCATTGATACTTTGCTTTCTGAAAGACTCAAAGTGTATCTCAACGTGGCTGATGACTCCAGCGGTTACTGTGAGTGGAGGCCTTTGACGAAATTAATCCAATTCTCCTGGAGCATTTTAGAAAATCAAACTTGCAGCAGCTCTTCCACCATTGAAGAAGTTGGGCATCATGAGAATTCTTACTCAAGTATTCTCCGTGAAGTTAGAAGTGTTTGTAAGACTGAGTCTGATGGGAGATTGGTTGAGGTGATGATTAGATTTTCCTTCTCAATGATATGCGCTAAACGGGCTGATTTACTACAAAATTTTCCAGTAATTGTATCAGTCTCAAAGAAAATGCTTGGAGTGCCTTTCTCACTCTTGATGTCAATATTCTTCCTTGAACCAAGTCTTCTCATTGATGTTTCTAAAACATGGCCAGAAATGTTCTTCACTGGTCTGGAAAGTGCTATTTCTGGATTACAAGAAGGAAGAACAGAAGAATTTGGTGACATTGATTCAATGGAGTTTGCCTCTGCTGCACTTTCTCTGTTCTTGAAGGAGGCATCATTGTGTATGCTCTTTCCTATTACTCTAAGCATTTATAAATCTGATTTGTCCACACAGCAGGGTTTGCACAATCTTCTTCTGGCTAATCTCTCTGAGAGAACACCAGATCATATTGTATCCTCATTTCTCTATGTCCTATTTTGGTTTAATCAAGCACACATATCCTATCGAGTTGAACCATTGGAGGAATTGGAAATGCTTTCTGAATTGTGCTTCAATATTGTGGATCGCATGCTAAGACAATTTCTTAACACAAAAGGTGATGCAAGTTCAAAATGCACCAGATCTCTTTTACCAACCAAGTGTGTTCAAGAACTAATTGAAACTATCTTCTATCACCCAGTTGTCGCAGCATCACTTGAATGCCCTTTGCCCTGTAATGCTGATTTTACAGATACATTTAGTGGGGACAGTATGGACAAATTTCTCGAATCAAATAAATGGAGGGTGATTCACAAAATGGATCTACATGTGATAAACTTGTTGAGAACAACCTTTGAGCTCTTGTATTTTTGTGATGGCCAAACCTCTTCATTTGAAGCTTGTCATGCCAGACAAGTCACAAAGGCTTTCAAAAATGTGGTGCAGAAACTATTTTTGACATTCAAGGATAGGACTGATAAATGTATAGAATCTAAAGACTTGACACCCCTCCTTCCAGCAATTTATGCTATACACACTTTAAAGCGTTTCATATTTCCCTTTGAGCTTCTTGAATTGGTGCATTGGATGTTCTCCAGAATAGACCTTGAGGACAATTCCTTTCAGCAGTCCCTTAGAGATTCTGTCCTCCGTGTTGGTCTACACATTGCAGGATCTGTTTTCGATTCTCTGTCAGCATGTATGTGGCAGCCACATTCAGAAAGACCATTATCTGACTTGTTTTGGGGAATGCTAGAGGAACAATTTGACATTGTCCTCCTTGAGAAAATCCTTTTGCAAGTATATGAGATTGCCACTCATCTTCATCTGGATGTTGCTGATATGTGTTTGCTTAAAGCCTTTAAAGTTGTGAAAACTCATAAAGTTATGCAGCAGTCAAATCCCACATTAGTTATGGCTATATCAAGATTTATAGTGAACATTCCTGTAAACCTGCTGTCTTATTGTATGTTCCAAATTAACAAAAGAAAAGCTGAACTGTTGTTCCTTGCCACAGAAATGAGCCCCCTACATCTGTCAATATTTGGTCACCTTTTATCAGGCATGATTGATAAGCAGGTCCATTTGCAGACCAATGCAATAAGAGAAACTTCTAATCCTTCTGATCCTGAGTTATTGATGCTTCTTCCCACAGTCTTCTTGTATTTGGACTCAGTTCTTATAAAAGCTGGGAGCCAAGTTAAATATTTTGAGAAAATAGTTTCTTTCTACTGGAGGATATTGTTGCACATTTTCTCTGACTGGAAGTGCTATGTTACCAGAGACATGTTTGACATAGAATCTTTTGACAACCTGCCCTTATCAATTGAAGAATTTATGGATATTTTCTCCTGCAATCTGCTTTCAAGATCTGTTCTTATGGTGCAACTTTGTTCTGCATTAACAGGGTATTTGGTGAAATTTGAGGCACGCATGGAACTATTTGACTCTGTTTGCCCACAAAAAAGTACCTGTGTTGATTTTCTGGATTTTGATCCTAGTCAAGTAGGTACTTGTTCACTAGAGCAGTCCCTGAACTTTGTTAATAGGACTGTTGCAAAGATAAACTTGTGCAGAACTTTGTTATTTCCTGAACATAACAAGTTTTCCTCTGGGCTGAAAGAAGACAAAATGGAGACTTGTGCAGAATTGCATTCTACTTTAGACGTATCAAGAATCCGGCTTTTGAAAATGTTGGTCTCTTCCTGGCGAAAGATTGTTGAGAAATTTCCAATGACTGCTGATAACTCTTGTCAAATGGAAGTTGAAAATTGTTCTGTGTTCAGATTTTTGGAAGTTCTTATCTTGAGAAATATTGTGGAACTTTCTAAAGAGATGCATGGTTGTCTTGTCAAGTTGGATTCTCTTCCATTCATAGTTAAACTTGCCAAGACAACTTTTTGGCATAGGTTTGATGATCCCATGACACTGCAGAAGCTCCGAGACATTATTTCTTCACTATCTGAAGGAAAGTTTTCATGTGTTAAAATAATTCAATTGATGGTTGCTCACTCCCAATTTGAAACAGCCATCTGTTCTTCCAATTTGTCAACTGGAATTTCCCAACTTGGTCTGACATTTACTCCCTTGCCAAGCCTTATGAGATCTTTTGTCATCCCTCTATTCAATCATAATTCCATTTGCAGGAAAGACAATCTGCAAATGTCTAAGCAACATTTGAAGCAGTTGGAACTCATTAAATTGCTTAGGGTATTATTCCAAGTAAAGGCTCGACAGGTAGATATTGAACCTGCACAAGAGATTGGTATAAATTTGAGAGATTTGGTGTTTTTGTTACTATCTTCTTATAATGCAACCCTATGTGACATTGACTTTGAGATACACAATCTTGTGAATGAAATCAAGTCAATTAGTGACTCTAACATAAGTATTGCTGAATGGGATTATCTATGGGGTAATGCTGTTGTGAAAGCCAGGAAAGAGCGGGAGCTGGTGCAGACTGTTTCATGCAATCTAAGTGATGCTGAAGTAGCAGAGGACTGCCGAAAAATTCAGTTCAGGGAAAACCTTCCAATTGATCCAAAGATGTGTGCAAGTACTGTGCTTTATTTTCCCTATGGGAGGCCAAATGGTCCAGGAGTTGTAAACAAAGTTCAAAAAGATACATTTGATTCTATGCATGAGGTATATTTAATTATTTACTGCACAGCCTCGATACTATAAGTTTGGTTGATTTGTTCTGTTTTCATTGTCTTCAAATATTTTTTCATCTTACTGCAGACCATCATATGTTTTTTTTTACTGGCAGGATTGTTCTGCAGAAGTTGCGAACAGACATATATATGATCCCATCTTCATCTTGCGCTTATCATTTCACTGTCTTTCTATGGGCTATATTGAACCTGTTGAGTTTGCTAATTTAGGCCTGCTAGCAGTCTCACTTGCAAGTATATCTTCTCCTGATGATGATACAAGGAAATTAGGATACGGGGTTCTTGAAAAATTCAAGAATGCATTAGAGGTTAGTTATTGCAATATTTCTTCGAGTATGATTGGTGATGTTGTGCATTATAGCCCAATTGAGTGACCTTAGCCCATTCTTAGATTATAACACTCAGATATACTCTATAGGTACTATTAATAAATATTTTCTCGTACTTGTCAAAAATGGAAAGATTATTACTGCAGATGTCGTTACAAATAATCTGAAGTCTTTGCGGTGTAGAGTCATAGACAAAGCAAATAAAGTTTTCTTCTAGACCCTTTTGGCTGGGTGAGATTTTTTCTGCAAGAATTCCATGCATGTCACACTTAAAGAGAACCTGCCTTATATAATAAGCCTAAATGGCTAAATCTGTGGTATTCTCAAAAGCAAAAACTTTTGATAATGTCATAGTTTCTAGTATATACTGATAACTGATAGATCATCAATATGAACATATTAAATAGGAGTATCAATGTTCACATGTGACATTTTCTTCACTTGTGAAAATCTGATGTGATCCCATATGGAGCACTATCATGGAAGTGTGGAACAGAAAAATGCGCTTGTGGTGGCTGATACTTTAAGGGAAATATAGTCCTATGATGGTAGATTGTTTTTGGATAGACTAAAAGTATAGATCTTTGATCTTTCTATACTTTGTGCTTTATGCTGTTTGGTACCCAATAAAATCCTTACTTATAAAAGGAAAAGATGACATCCAGTAAAAATTAATGTATAGATCCTGTCAATTTCTTGTCATCAATAAGATAATCTCTAGAATTGCTATTAAGAACTTTGTATCCATTGCACGGTACATTTCTTTTTAATCCCACAGATTAACTACACAATAAGTATGCTTTAAGCATGACATTGAGGACTTTAACATGGTCTGAATGAATAGGTGTTTACAAATTCTTATCTGATATCATAGTTCTGAAAGTTTGTAGTTTTGGCTGCAGAAATGTCAGAAGAAGAAGGATGTAATGCGACTTCAACTCCTACTGTCATATTTGCAGAATTGTATAGAAGAGGATTGGCAAAAAATTCCCTCTGTAACTGCTATATTCATTGCAGAGGCTTCATTTGTGCTTTTGGATCCTTCACACGACCATTATGCAACTATAACTAAGCACCTAATGCAGTCTCCAAGTGTGAATCTAAAGGTATTTTTTCTGAAAAATGTTCTCATGTGCATATCCATTGTGCCCTACCATCATGAAGATTAGTCACATACTATCATGTGACCATTAATTGAGCAACTCACCAGTCTATATCCAATATAACAATTTGTCTTTTCTTCTATCCCTTTGTGTTTTGTGACAGAGCATACCATTGTTCCAGAATTTGCTCTGGAGTGACTCTGTTAGTTTCAGAACAGAGAGGTTGTGGATACTTCGTATTTTGTATTCAGGGTTGAACACGGATGATGATGTTCATATATATATCAGAAACTCCATTTTTGAGACCCTTCTAAGTTTCTATGTCTCCCCTCTTGCTGATAATGAATCAAAGGAATTAATTATTCAGGTAAGCTGTTTGATTGAATTTACTGACTACTGAGACTCTGAACACAAGGGTCTGTATTAACTTAAATGGTTAACTTGCAGACTGTGAAGAAGTCTGCCAAATTATCTAGAATGGCTCGACACTTAATTGAAAACTGTGGCTTGATTTCATGGCTGTCCTCTGTTGTTACATCCTTCTGTGGAATTAAATACGATCACTGGAAAGGTTTTCCATTTGCTCAGTTTGCTGTTGTCCTGGAGGTATATATTTACTGCTCCAAGTTAAAGTTACCATCTAGTGTTCAAGTTCTTTTGCCAAAAAGATTAATTTAACTTCCAAAATTAATAAAAGAAGGATTCCCTTATGTTTTGAAAGAAGTGCTTCTGAGGCAAGGTTCCATATGTTTATATGTGGCAGTTGCTCTTCTTAAATGACTCCTTATTCCTGTGATGATGGGATTTATGTGATAAAATGAACAAGCACATCACAATTGTTTTTATCCACTAATCATGTTTCATATTGATAAAATAAAGTACTAGCATGACCCTTATATGCCATTCCTTGATTTGGTGTTTACCCGTTTCTTCATTTAGGTGGTCAATGAAATCATCTTCTTCAGACACACTGTTGAGTGGTTGCAAAAATATGCCCTAGAACAGCTCTCTGAACTCTCCTGCCATTTGTGCCAAATCCTAGTTGAAGGTGCTCAGATGTTAAAAGAACACAGTACATTTACCAAGTTGATTCTACAAATATTGACTTTGACATGGAAGGTATCACAGAAGAGGAAAGTGTATCAACCGCATTTCACTCTCTCAGTTGAGGGCTTATTTCACTTATGTGAAGCCATTGATGTATGTTGCAATGGATGTTACAGCCCTATTGCCAAGACTGGACTTGAAGCTATACTTATGAGCACTCCTCCAGTTGCTATTTTACAAATGGTACACTCTTTTATGAGCACTAGTAATTTGATGCCCTACCCGACCTTTCCCACCTTAATTAAGTCTTAAATTTATTAACTTCATGTTATGAATTTTTACTGATGCCGAAGTATCTTATGATCTTAAAATGGCATATACTACTGAATTATTTTGTGATTTTGGATGTATATCTTTATGCCATTAAACATTTACTTTTGTAATGTGTTTTCAGGACTGCAAAAAGGTTTCCAAATTCATTAACTGGGCTATGTCAATTGCTCTGCAATCTGAGACAAAAGGAGTGCTTCAGGTGGAAAAATGTTGTTTCCCTCTGAATGTATCCTCTGAGGAAGAGACAGAAAATTCTCTCATATCAAAGCTTTTAAGATGGCTGACTGCCTCGGTGATCCTTGGAAAGATTTCATACAAACTTAGTAAATTGGATTCGAGTCATTCATGTGACAGATCAAAACTAATTAATTTGCATTGTTTATTGGAGTGGAATGAGGAAAGTGATAGGGAGAATGGTAAGGAATTTGCATGCCAAGAGATCTTAGCAGCATCAATATTTTATCTGCAACAGCTACTGGGCACAAGCTTCAAATTGCTTCCATCAGCTGTTTCTGCGCTTTGTCTTCTACTTCTTAAGAATCCTGCTTCTTCAGGTTCACTCTATTCTTATATTGATTTTATTTAATCATCATAACTTACATTCCTTGATCTTGGGAGGGAAAAATTTACTCCATATAAACTTGATTAGCCTTGACTGGTTTGTGTCATGAAACAACCCAACCCCCCCCCCCCTTCCCCACCACCACCCACCCACACCCACACAAAACCCTCAAATAGAGTGGCCATACAAAATTCTTGAAAAGTAAAATATCTCGATTTCCATATGCCTGTACATCAAATACATTTGTAGCTTATCTAAAGGATGCAACTCTTTTATTTTATATACTATGCTGGTTGTAGTCAAGTGCAGGCTAGATCATTTAAGGGACTGACATATTGGCATGTGCTGTTGCATACTATTTGCATATGTGTGTGTGTGTGTAGAGAGAGAGAGAGAGATTCTGTCCCTCTTAGTGCTGCAGAGGGGTTGTACACTTGTACTCCCTTCTCTCGCTTTTTAATTTGTCTTGCAGAGACAAATCCTAGCTGCTTTTGGTAAAGGTGGTTTGTATTTGTTAAATATTAGGATCAGAAGTGTTGATTGGCAATGCAGCTGCTCTCTGCTCAAAAATTCGTTGCCCTGCCGAAGCCAATTCTGCTTGGAGATGGTAATATCCTAATTGTGTTGTTTCATGGTTTTGGTTGGATTAGTAGTATAATGCTAAATTGGTTTATTATAATGTGCGCATTTAGGTCATTCTATCAGCCATGGAAAGATCATTCCTCCAATCTCACTGATTCTGAGAAAATCGAAGAAATCCATGCTTGCCAGATGCTTCTACTTGTAGCCTCAAAGATGCTTGCAAGAAATTCATTGTATTCTAAGTTAATTTCGCTCAAGGATGTGGAAAAGTTGGGTGTATTTGAATGGGAAAGGAGTATTCTAAATCTCAATCATGTTTAGCTCCATTTTTAATGACAATTCACAATATATATATACCAGCTTCTTTCCCCCTTTTGGGGGTGTTTGGTTCATAACTTTTTGCATTTTATTATCAAATTTAATTTCAATTATCTTGTTTATTTGACTATTCTTTGTTACTCCTTCCATCTCATTATGTTTGTCTGAGTCAGTTAATGAGATTTGACTGAAATTATTTTTAATTTAATTTTTTATTTAGTATTAATATATTATTATATAAAATATAAAATTTATATTTTAAAATTCACATTAAAAGTATTATTAAATTTAAAAATAATTAAAAATTATTAAAGAAAATAAACAAAAGATATTTAATCAATGAATATAGTAAATAAGACCGGCAAAATGAGACAAGGAGTATTTTACTTTGAAAATCAAAATCTTTTAATAAAAGTAACTCATTGCCCTTCTCATCTCCTGTTTTTGGAATCTGAAATAAAAAAAAATTGACAAATCATTTCAAAGTTTCCACAACGAATGTGCATTCCCAAAAAAAAATAAAAAAAATTAAAAACACTTACGTTAGGAGGATGAGAAATTTGGGAGAATGAATGGGTAGTGAAATAAGTTGTTTTGTGTCAGCTTCACACATACTTTTGATCATTCATCTCGAATCAAGCCGAGTTTTGGACTGACTACTACTTATTTCCAATTACATATACAAGCACAGATGGGGTAGCTTTTAGGAATCATGCTTCTTGAATACAACATTTTACACCAGAAAGTAAACAAGGCATTCATTTCACTGAATCCAAGCCGTATGCATTTTGCCATGCACTCGATCGAGGTCAGCACCATAAATAATGTGTTCAGAGTGTCATGAATCTAAGCATTCCTTGCCTCGACCATCTATGGACAAGTGGCGAAATACTCTCTTCCTGTGCATGTATTAATGTGAAAACAAAATCCAAATCATAGACTCAATCAGACTTCTCAATCTCACGGAACCTTTGGTCCCATTGTTTGGCGTCATAATCTTGCTCATACAAGTCTCTGTCAGTGCTGTAAACAATCCTATCCTGACCAATAAAAGTCCTTTGAGCCATATCCCGTGCACTCAGGAGCTGCAAATGATGACACAAGAACGTGATTTACCAGCTATAAGAAAGCTATATTGCCAAAAAAAAAAAAAAAAAAAAAAAAAAAAAAAAGAAAGATAATTTGCCATGTCATTTTGAATTCAGAAAACAGGCAAGGATATTTCTAAAATTTAAAAAAGATTAGCTCCCTGAGAATAATATGGGTTTAAATGGCCGAGGAATTTCTTTTAATTCTATTTCCAGCTCAAAAGTGCAGAAGGTGCTCAAAAAGGGATGAATTTAAGCAAGCAAAAGTCATAATATACTGTAAACTGCTTATTATACCTTTCGCCTTAGAGAGAGTTCTGGGCGTTCAAGAGCCCTGGAATATTTCTCCCTTGCTCTATTTCTGCTTTCAATTTGAGCATTTTTATTTTTAACGAAAAACCATCGAATCAATGGAATTGTGAAGAAAGACCCAGCATAAATCTGCAAGGTTAATGTAAAAGCATCATATATTCAATCATGTAAAAGTTTAAATAACAAGGATCCTCCGTAAACACAAACTTAAATGAGAGGTCTTTGACATGGTATAACATAGCATGAAGTTTATGCTCTCACGAAAAAAGCCTACACCAACATTAGGCTGCCGCATGCTAAGAACAGCGTTTGTACCCACAACTACGATAGAAATTTACTGATACTATTATTCTTTAAAATACACGTAAGACTTCTAAGGGTAGATATTTATTTATATCCCCTAGCCTAGGTCTAATGAATACTAATTCTAATAATAGTAGGAAAACAATAAAATAATCCTGGTAAACCTAAATTTATTCAAATGGGATAAAGAGACTAAGTCGTACCTGGAGTAGAGGAAATATATCAGACACAAAAGAGATAAAGCTACTTGGTCTAACTGACATATTCCTTCAAGATAGAAAACAAGCAAGTATATCCATTAGAAAGAAAAAACGGAGTAGAACAAAACGTATTGAGAATGTAGTAATGACAGTAGAATCATACTGCAACATGGCACCAAGGACAATGACACCAAATAGATTGAGGCCACCCAAACCAATCACCATTGCCCTTTCTGAGAGGCTGGTTTTGCTGCATGGAGAAAAGTACACAGTGAATAATACTAAGAAAGTTAAATTGTAAAATCGACCAAATTAATTTACTCTTGAAAATAATACCTGAACTGCAACTTATTTTCTTTAAGAAATTTCTCAGCCTCTCCAACCCAATCTGCCCATCTTTTTCCAACATATTCCTTCCTTCTACTACTCTGCCGCGAGGCTGTACGTTGGAGTGATGGAAACCGGTACAGAATATTTCCCTGAAGAAAAATTAGTTTCCCCATAAATCAGATTATAAAATGAACATTAAATATTCCATTGGCATCAACCAGAATTATGTGATTTCTAAATATGCAGAAAAATACTATGATTGCCATTTATTTTTTAAATTATTACTATTATTTTATAGTATCACTTTTAAGAAAAAATTTCAGTGACATTAGATTTGGATTTAACTCATTAGAGACAAAGAATTTGGCCTGTTGAAGAAAGCTATTGAGGTCTCCTAGACTTATAGACTTATAGGTCTACAGTTAAAATTCCCCATCCCTCACTTGAGAAAACCCCCACCCAAAAATATATAAATAAATAAAAGGTTACTAGGACCCCTTTGATTAAATTCTTTATCCAGAAAGCGATAAAGTGCAATTTACTATTCTTAGATTAGACCTTTCAAGGGACAAGCAGACTGCAATAATAATTAGCATGTGAAGCAAAATCCTAAGTAACTTATTAGCAGTTTCATCATTCCCTCAAATATGGACTGTATCAAAATCCACAACCACCTAGATGCATGTAGAATTCAATGAGGCAACAACAGGAGGAAACATTATACGGAGTACTAGATATTAGATAATACAGAGTTTAGAGGTGATCCCCGAGGATAGTTGACGGAACAAACTATTAGCCATTCAGGGGCCCTAAGACCCTTTAAGAAAGAATTCAATAAAGTCAATATTGAGACTGACCTCCTCATCTATTTCCGGCTGACCATCGAACCGTAACAGCACAGGTAATACGTATGACTCGTCATCCTAGAGACAAGGTATTAAATTTATTAGCACAACAAAATAGTCCAAGGTAGCAGTGTGTGAATGTAAACTCAACCAAAGGCCAACGCCTAAATCAGTTGTCTAAAAGATTGTGTAAAAGAGTAGTCAATAGACATTGTCAGAATTCCAATTAAATATAAACATCAGAAATCTAACAATTGTAAATTATCCAAATTTTCTGTGTAACAAACTAAGTAGTCAACAATCACTTGCATCATCAGGAGAAGATAGAGGGAGGAGGAAGGCGAGTGTCATACCCCATCACTGTCTACCAACCCCACAGAAATTAGGGGACCTAAAATGAAGTTAATTTCTCCAAGCAAAGATAACCCACATAAATAACAAGCTAGTCACATCTAAATCTAAATAGAATTTATTTTTACATAAAAAATAACTTCAGGATGAAACAGTAAATTACCAAAATAGAGCAAATCAAGCCAAGCAATTTACCGTTTTATTACTGGTCTCAACATCAAGATAAGGAGCAAGTTCTTCAGCAGTGACAACACCACCATTTGATGCTATATATTGCCCAATCTGAAAATTGCAGACAAGTAAAAACAAGTTAAAATCCATTGTGCAAAACATTTTAGGAAAAACAAAAGTATTCAAAGAATATTTTAAAAGTATACATTTAAGCATAGCAAGCAACTAAAAGAGGAAAAGAAGAAAGATGGATCTTCATTCAAAGCTATAGTAAAAGGCAAAGGAAATTCACTACTATGTGAATTAATGACTTCAGTTAACATCAGAGTAAAATAGCCTACACTACTACGGCAATTTCTTGGAACAAAATAAAAGACGCAAAAGTTGACTGCCCAAGGGATGACCCATTGATTTCATGAATCACGAAGGGTAGTCAGTGATCACCCAGCTGTTAGCAGATCATGATGAATGACCATGAACTCCCTACAAGAGATTCACGGAAGGATCTACTAGTCATTAAGTCCAAAAAAAGGTGGGAATACTTTATAAGAACCATTCTTGAAGTTTCAAAAGATCACCCAAAGTAATAATATTCCACCAAATAGAAATAGAAGGAATAGAATATGGCAAATACACTCAACTCAATTTGACTCAGCACAAGTTCTCAATTTGAAAATACCCAATCCTGGATAAAGGAGGGTATATGAAAAGCCTGAAATAATTTCAGTTCAGGATCAATAAAATTCATCCTTGCCCAGTACTAATGCCACCTACAACTACATTGTATTTCTATATTTAGTAATTAAAAAATTTTGAATTTGAGTATATTTTCTAAATTAGAAAATAAACAATTTGAAAATATTTTCCAATGGAAAATGAAAGGGAAATTTTAGAAATTTGAAAATGGAAAATTGAATACATTTTTTTGTAACCATCACCTTAGGTACTTTTACTTCAGTGTGTTGGAAAATGGAAAACCTAAATCAATACACAGACTTTTGAGTATTTGACAATAAGATTCTCAATATTATAACATTATAAGCATCGCCTTTTGGTACAGTTTACTTACAAAAAAAAAAAAAAAAAAAAAAAAAAAAAAAAAAAGAGATTATGCTTAAGTTATATCATACAAGAACCAACTTTTATTACATTGACTAGTGACTATCCTGCCAAATCAATGAGGCCTTCCTTATTCCCCGCCCACAGGGGCCCAACATGGTGGAAAGGTGAATTAGATGATGGGAAAAAAACCATAGAAAACCAAACAAAGGAATTTATGATACCGCAATTAGATACATAGGATGACCAAGAAAGCTATGAAGATGAAAGCGCACATATAATCAATACATTGAAAATGTAATCATTAAAAGCAACGGACCACTAAATTCAGTGCTCAATTATTACCAACTTCCACCTCTCTTCTTCAATACCTTGATTTGGATCCCCATCACCAAACACAAAGGAGAAAACCTGCAAAACATGCATGGATTTTTCATTGTTTCATTATTTGCTTCAAACAGTATAACATTTGATACAGTTAACATTCTCTGCATACAGATTCAATGAAGTTCATCCCACCACCATCTTCGCGAATTTTCCGTCTCCTATAGTAGTACGGATCCCAATACCTAAAAGAAATTATGACAGGAAAACAAATGTTATTTAGGTCTATTCTAGTCCTACATATACTCAATATTTAACAGAAATAAAGGCATAGCAAGAGTCTTGCTTGTGGGATCAAGCTGTCCAACTAAACTTGGACAACAAAGAGAACCACTTGAGAAAATATGAGTAGCTGAACTTTACATGAGTTAAATCACAGAAGTCTTGCATAAATGCAATAAATAGAGTACACTTAAAAATCAAAGAAACAAAATAAAGAAAAAAGAATTTATAGACAGGCACCAGAATATCACTTGGGAAATAACTACCTACTTTTCAAATGGATGGATATATATATATATATATATTTGTGCAATTTAAATCTACCGTCAACAATGGCATGTGGCATTCTCCTCAATGAAGACTAATAAAATTTCGAGAAATAACTATAAAACATATTCAAATACAAAAGACAAAAATAGACTCCTTCATGAAGCTAAAGGATGAATAAAACAAGATTTCTTAGGGCTTCCACTACAAAAAGGGTTGAAATTGAGATGTTACCAAAATAAATCAGCCGGATTTAAGTAAAATGTGAAACCCGTATCATAAGATCTGCCTCGTCTTCCACGATTGTCTTCATCACTGTTACATGTAAGGATATATAAGATGAAAAATTGGCAGTGTATTAAGCTGTAGGAGGGATTGGCACAGAAATAATTGTTAATCAGTAAAGAGGCGAGCCAAAGTGTTGAAGAACATAATTTAGCAGATACCTTCTACTTGAGAGAACAGCAATGATTGCAGTATAAACAATAACTATTGAAGCAATCAGTGCTGTTCCAAAGGAAACCCTAATTAGATATTCAGATGCCATCTGCAACCAAGGGAGTGGAACATTGAACATTTGGTAAGAAGATAACACTCAAAGGTTAATCTCAAGATGTTGAACAACAACACACATAAAACATATCACCTTTGCTTTCTCTAGCAGTGGTTCAATCTTCATCTTAAACGATTTAGCAGAAAGATTTGTGCGGTAACTCTTAGGAAACACATAGAGGACATCGCCTTCATCTGACACCTAACGAAAAGTTTCAAATGAAAATTAATTGAAACAACTATAAATTAAATATATCTACGTGTATAAATTACATATTCACACAAGCATATGAATTCTAAGAATTTGTGCCCTTCTCCGTTCTTTTCAATTTTCATAGGTAATTACTCAATCGCTAGATTAATTAGTCGAGTAAAATAATCACGAAAAAGAAACATTCAAATAGAAACTTTACATTAAAACAAGCAAACTTTTTACCTCCAGGAAGCCATTAGTATCCGTTGCAAGAGCTTGCAAAGCCTTTTGGGCCTCATTCAACTGAAGCCCAGCCTTACTGGCGACATCCCCAACAGTGACTCTACCTCCAAGAGAATCAATGGCGTCCATCGCACGCTTCCGAATGTCAGAGGGCAACTTATCGCTCTCCACGGCGGCTCCGGGCTTGATATCAGAGGTGGTCGCGACATCGACGCTGGCCCGTATTTGCAGAAACGGGGCCTTAATGGGGCGGAATTTGTAATTGAGATTCCTGGCGAAGTAACTGAGACTGGACTGCTGGGGTTTGAGAAGGGAGGGAGAGGGTTTTGGGGCGAGGAAACAGGAGTGCGAGTGGGAAGTCGTGGTTAGGAAGTAGAGTGAGGATATGGAGCTCATTCTGAAGACTTTGAGGGCTTTTAAGCTCCCGTTTAGGATTTAGCCATGGAAGAAGAATGAAGGTTTTCTGGATTCGAAGAAATGTTTGCTTGGTGAGGAAGACGCCGCGGTGTCACGACTGGGAATAGTATCAGCTCGCGAGCCAATGGTGTTTGGATTGATTCCCACAATATTTGCCCAATTTTCGCTTATATTTAACTCCTAAATACAAATTTTCTCAAAAGTCAAAACATTATTCTAAGTAGATAAGACTTGATTCACACAATATGAGAGTTTGATGCGCATAAATCTACATTTTAATATTATGTCTCAAAATTAAATTAAATTAATTTTATTTACCTCTTTTTGAACATGAGAGACTGATTTATGCGGTCCAAGATATTAGTCGACTAAACAATTGAATCTATATTATAAAAATAATTTTCTCAAATTATGAGGGATGAACTTTTTCCAAATTTTCTCAAGAATAATGGATAAAATTCTTATTATTAATTGATTATTATCATGAATTGATCAACATTATCTAGCGTTTAAATATAATATCTTTATCAATTAAATACATGAAATGTTTTGACTATGATTACGATGACAAACTTTTTTAAAATTTTATGTAAAAATAGTGTGGTTAATCCTCTAATTATACATGCATTCACTTTTTATCTCTTAATTATTATATTTTAATGACAAATTTTATCCATTATTCTCTTAATAAATTAGTTATTATGATGTTCAACCATAGAGAATTAGAAGAGAAATATAGTATTCTGAGAAAAATCCTTTATTCTCTCAAAATACTTGTGTTGGAGACTTAGTAGAGAAATAGAGTATACTGCCCATATGATTATTCATATTGGTAAGCACCCATAAACAAGATGTAGTGAAAACACACTCAACAAAACAAACTTTATTAGAGATATTAACAATAAAGACTATTCCAAATCTAACCAAAAGCACATTAAGAATAATTAAATTTTTTTTTTTTTTGGTTTCTTAAGAATAATTAATTAATTATACTGAAATTAGTATTTTCAATTTCTATTTTCATTTTCCTTATCTTTATACTACAATAAGCACCTAAGACTTTCTTTGGAAAAGTTAAAAATCTTTTGTGATGACGATTAAATTAAGCAGTAATAATTTTCCTTTACTTAAGTTTCACACACTGGGCATGGATTAATTCGCACATGTTTTAAGTTTTAACTAGTGAACCATATAAAAGAGTAAATAACACATGGAAAAACAAAAACAAAAATAAAAAAGTAAAAAGTACCCCAAAAAAATGCAATAAAAGTTAAAAAAGAAACAACTAAATATTCCCCAAATAAACACGTGAACCATATAAAAGGGTAAATAACACATGGAAAAACAAAAAAAAAAAAAAAAAACACAAACATAAAAAAAAGTAAAAAGTACCCAAAAAAAAATGCAATAAAAGCTTAAAAAGAAACAACTAAATATTCCCCAAATAAACACAGAGAATTAATTTAAAAAGTAATAACAACACTTGCCAAGGGGAATTAACAAAAGGAAAAAACTTAAAGCACATACCAAAACGAATATAGAAAAACCAAAAAAATGCAAAAAATAAAATAAAATATGGAAAATACAAAATGAAAAACAAATATACATAGAAAGAATATCAAAAAAGTAAAATGAAAGGTCAAAAAAGGGAGTTAAAGAAGTTAAAAAAGTTCAAAATAAAAGAAGTAAAAAGAATCCATTTTTTTAAAATCCAAATTTGCATGAACTGTGGGGAAAAAAAAACTTAATTTGCCAAAAAACAAACTAAAAATGAAATTAAATATTCCAAATATAAACAAAAGTTATTACAAAAATATGTATTAAATTGTAAAACGGACTTAGAAAATACATTGAACAATAAAAAGGGAAAAATAACTAAAGGAAAAAAAAACATAATATATATATATATATATATATATATATATAACACTGAAAATCAAGTTAAAAAGTAAAAAAGCACACTTGAAAAAAGAAGAAGATAAAATTGCATTAAAAATTGAAAATCTACAAACATGCACCCTAAATAGACAAAAACACTAAAAATATGTTATAGAAAATAAAAGAATTAAATATTTCTAATAAAATACCTACAAAAAATATTTTAAATAAATATGTAAGTCCTATGTTAACTTTGAAAATAAACAATGAAAACTAAAAATACTTAGAAACAATATTAAGAAAGCAAAATGAATGGTCAAAAAAGGGAGTTAAAGAAGTTATTAGAAGTACAAAATTAAAGAAGTAAAAAGAACCCAAATATTGCATGAACTGAAAAATAAAAAGTTGAAAATCATTTTAAAACTTTAAAAATTTGAAAAACTATACGAAAAAAAAAATATCAAAAAATGCAGGAAAACTGGGGGAAAAAAAAGAAGAGAAAAAAGGCCAAAATTACTCCATATAAAATAAAGAAATTAAATATTCCAAATAAAAATAAAAATAGGTATAAAAGTTATTTAAAATATAAGTACAAAATTGTAAAATGAACTTAGAAAATACATAATCAAAACTAAAAAAAATTAAATATTCCAAATAAAAATAAAAATAGGTATAAAAGTTATTTAAAATATAAGTACAAAATTGTAAAATGAACTTAAAAAATACATAATCAAAACTAAAAATATGCCGAAAGAATGTTAACAGATTTTTTTTTTTTTTTAAAAATGAATAATAAAAAGGGAAATTAAACTCAAGGAAAAAAAGAGTGAAATGTACCCCAAAAATTCAATAAAAACTAAAAAAGGAAGAACGAAATATTTCCAAAAAAAATGAAAATCAATTATAAAGTATAAAATAACACTTGAAAAAAAAAATAAAATTGTATTAATTTTTTTAAAAAAATACAAACATGCACCATAAATAGACAAAAACTGCACTAAAATGCTAAAAATACTCTGAAGGCAGTAAAATAATTAATTATTCATAATAAAAATAAAAATACCTACAAAAATTATTTTAAAAAGAACCCAAATATTGCATTAACTTGAAATAAAAGAAAAAAAGTTAAAATTGCCAAAAGAGATGATGAAAATTATTTTAAAATGTTAAAAAAGAGAGTAAAAACTTAAAATATAACATGCACTGAAAAAAAAAACTTGAAATTCCTAAAAAAACACAGAAAATCATTTTTAAAATTGAAACAAAAAATGAAAAAATTCAAAAGAAAAAAAAATCAAAAAATACTCCATATAAAATAAAGAAAATTTTAAAATATTCCAAATAAAAATGCCTACAAAAGTTATTTAAAAAGTACAAGTATATACTTAGAAAATACATACATAATCAAAACTATAAATACGTAGAAAGAATGTTAAAAGAAAAAAAAGAACTTAATGAGCAATAAATAGGGGAAAATAATGCAAGGAAAAAAACAAAAAGAATGAAAAAAAAAAAAAAAAAAAGTGAAAAGCTCCCCAAAAATTCAATTAAAAAAAAACTCCATAAAAAGTAATATATATTGAAAGCAAAAAAACAGAGTATAGATTACTGCATAAGAGTAAAAAATTATTAGGGAACAAAAATTCTATGACCTACTTCATCCTTCCAAAGGTTGAACCCCAACCCTAAAGGCCCCCCTCCCCCATTGAACCCTAACCCTAAGAGCCCCCCCCCCCCCCCCCACACCCCATCTATGACCTACTTCATGATCACACGACAAATGGGAAAAAGAATCCAGCTTTCCTAGTTTTTATTTCCTCTTCAGTTCTTCCATTTAGTAGATAGGAAAAACAAATATCATACAGTGAAAATGATTTTGCCAAACTACGAGATTAGATGAAGATATTACCATAGTCTGATTAAAATTAAAAAGTTAACAGAGAAGTATACCTCTTTTGCCCCATTTGGTTCTTCCCACTTTGGCATCCGTGTTCCATCAAATGCAAATGTTTCCTGATATATTTCAAACAGAATTCAAAACATAAGATCTTTAGACAACAATACAAGGATAGAAGAGCTTCTCAGGCTCCCATACGATAATAGTCAATACTGTTATACAATGCAATAATACTCACAATTCCAAAAGGAAGCTCCTCCCCACTATAGCTTGCACAATACCATCATAACTCTTATCTTAAATATACAGGCAAAGCTGCAAAAATGAATCAATAAATTATCAACACTTAAAGTAATTTTCTTAAATTTATAAAATAAAATAAAACAAAAAAGTAACTAACCAACTCTTCCACCCCCATTCTGCATATAAACAAATTTCAGCTCTCCAAAGTGCGATGTTAGAATTTTATGAGATCAGTTTATACAAACCATAAACCAATATAGGATTTTGGGTAACCCCCTCCTCGTTTGATCCAATAAACCAATATAGGAAACTGTTCTATGATGGCATCAACAGGAAAGTTTCAACAAATACTAAATCCTCTTTTTTGCCTAAAGGATACGTTCAAGTAACCATAGGCTTATTGAGAATATAAGTATTCACGTGATTAAAAATGCCACCAAAAAATAAATACAAGAAAGGTTCACTAGATCAAATATTTGGAACTTGTATTTTTAGTAATCAAAATAACAACAATAATAAATTTAAGTGAAAAGTAAAAATAAATAAAAACACACACACAAAGGCATCATGAGCCAGAAGATGATACCTAATGGTCTTAAAGAAAGAAGTGCTGAAACATCTCAATGACAAGTCCATCGCATTCCAGATCCAACATGACAACACATGACCTAACCTTTGCAACAGTTTCAAGAATAAAGGCCCTCTTATTGAATGATTTGCTCCAATCATCATATAAATTCTCAAAAATTGAGACTATTAATTGGAAGACATCTTGTCTTGTATATCAATATAGCAGAATGTTATGAAGGGAGAATAGTGTGATGTTTGGTACCTTCATCTTTTCATCATCATATGGAGCATCTGGTGCACTAATAATCCTGGTAATCTCACTTAAGCAAAAAGCAACTGCAACCTTCACATCAGCCTCAGGATGCCTAATAAATTTATCTACAATCATGGACTTGGCTGGTGCTTGCTTCACTTTTAACAGGAAAGACTCTCAACTTGCTGAAAAACAGAACAAAATGAAATGAGAAAAAGAAAATAGAAGAAAAGTTGAACTAGGAAATAATCAAAAGATTCCATTTGTTTTACAGAAAGAAATTACAATGGTGAATAAAATTACTGGGTGACATGT